TTTTTTTTTTTTTTTATTTGCTCCGATTTGGGGAAACTGGTTGTTTATGATCAGCTTAATATAGCAATGTGGAACGGTTCATCTGATGTCTGCGTGTTTAGGATTGTGGATACTTTCTTTTACTTATCTACTTCGGCTTTTTTTAATCATCTAGAAGAAATCACCCGATCGCTGCTTATTTTGTTTCATATGGATCGAGTCAAAGAATTGCACATGTTACCTAGATGAACACTAATTCATTCTTGTACGAAGTTATTCTCTTACAGAGAATGGGCTTTGTGCTGTGCTATTGTCGATGATTCTTCAGCATCTTGGTGATGAGACGTTGAGGAGTGTTAACACCTCAGCGTTTTTTTGAACTCTTTCCAAATTCCTTAATTTACAGGTAAGTTCTCCTCATACTCTTAAACTCTCCGCTTAGCGTCAGTAGCCCAACACTGCAATTTCTCTTTACGTTTGTACTAGTTCGGAATAACGGTTTTGTGGGCAAAAGCTAGTAAGACCAGAGGTCGTAAACAAGTTAGTCGAACTACAAATTATCGGTTGAGTGGGTTGGCTGGACAAAGTCAAAGAATCATTGTTTCTTAGCTTTTTTCCGGGCGGTCGTATGTTTAGAAGGACGTAATCGGACGAAACGGTGGCCAACAGGTTTACAGCTGTTTTATACAGGCGTTGTGTTACATATATGTACAATCCAAACATGTATGTATACAGTCCCACATGCAGTATTCTGCGGATTGGATTATCAAAAACAAATTTTGCCTCGTAAGGAGGTTGAAGTTTTTTAAAAAAAACTTTTTAAATGCAGTAACTTATCGAAGTCCTGTTGCGCCTAATTAATTTTTTTTCCTTTGCTAAGTCGGGAATTCCCAGTGAGTGTTTAGTAGTGACATCAAAAACTTTAAAGTTTATTAGTTTAAAGTGGTACATTTGAACTGGGGAGAACGTTGCAATGTTTCTTTTGAAGATTTATATTACAGAGCAAATAATTTTTGGAGTTGGAGGCGTGCATAAAGGATATGTGGCTGAAGGAATTAAAAGGATTCTGACAGATGACGCAGTATGTAGTAATTCATCGGTTTTCTTTGATTTACTGACTCCGTTTTTGGTAAAGTGGAAGTGCGAAAGATCTGGAAGTTATGATGGAGCGAAAAATTTGCGAGTGCATTTGACTGCGAGTAGACGCGAAAAATTTGCGAGTGCGGAGGGGGAATTAGGACTTGCTTCTTCAGTTGACATTTTGGTGGTGAATAAACTTTTCCCCAAACTTATATCAACACAAAGCGTACAGTCGGCGGAAATAATGCATTGAGTCTAATGTTTGTAACGAGAAAACGCATTGGTTGCTAGAGGTTATCTGTTAGGAAAAATAGTCCATCAGCTGTAATGGAGTCTCGGCCTCGTGCCACGAAAATTACGGGTCATCATCGGCGGGGGGGAATGTGTTCAACACACACTATGTTGTTTATTGGTTTCTTAAGATTGTATTACAGTACTGCATGCTTGTTGGCGGGTCGCCAATTTTTTTTCGTATTAAACCCGCCAAATTTTTCGCAGTTTCCTCTTTGCGATGGTCATCTTTATTGCCCATTTTGTGTGCATATTCTTGAAAAATTTGTTAGATGTTTGTTCTTCGTTCTTTTTTTTCTACCTGAATGAAAGTGTTGAGTTGCGTCGGTGCCCTGATATTTCTCGTCATTTTTATCTGCTTGAAGAATAGCAGAGTTATCTCGATTTTATATACCAAGTTCCGAACAATATTGTTTCGTGCCCGCAGAAG